CCCCAAAACCCCAAAACCCCAAAACCCCAAAACCCCATTTAGCCATCACCAGATTGAAATTTAAGATTTAAAATAATGCTTTCAAAAGGTAATAAATGAAAGCACATAGGGCAACAAAGAGCAAGACAGAGGCAAGAGTTCTGTACAGCCAGATTCTGGACACCTTCCTGAACCCTGTTTTGTCCTGTGGGAGCATTCTGAATTCATCTAGGTACATATTGAGCCTCTTCTGCTCCCCTGCTTGGTTAGATAACTTGCATTTTAAAATGATTCCATAATGATCGCTTGGCATCGTTGGGAAGAGTCTCTTTTTGCACCTATACTATGTCACTAGAAGATTTACCATGAGTTAATTAGCTTGTTTCCAAATAGTTGAATATCTAAGGGCTCGATATGGCTTTGGTTCTTCAGAATGATCCGATCTAACCTCAGTCTTCGATTATCAAATGGCTGTAAAGTCCATAATAATTTATTAGTCCTGCCATCATAAGTATATCCTGTAAAATGAGAATGGGAGTCAAGCCACAAATCTTTGTAATTTAAAGCCTCAATGATCTTATTCTCACTAGGAAAGTGCATGTTGAAGTCTCCTAATATAATCACGTTGTTCTGGTCCAATGCTTGCTTAATCTTAGCTTTCTGATTTTCTTCATCAGCAAGTTCACAGATTCTAAATTGTTAAATCCAAGTCTTACATTTGTAAATTCTGATTGATTTTAGATAACTCTATTGCCCTCATGGCTTTGGTCTTCCCCAAAGTGTTCAGATGTATTCAGATTCAAATAAAAGGTTTGTTATTTCGTTCAAAAAGGCCATAAATTGCCCTATCTCTGATCAAAAGCTCTTCAAATGGAAATTTTGATAAAATCAAAGGAAAATGAAGCTTATCCCTGATAATTTCATGATTGGATATGATGTATGAATCTCATAAAGAACTTTTATTCAACATTCGAAGGTATTCCCTTGTACACTCTTGGAGACAAATAATATCAGCACCAAGAGAGGGTAATAGAGTCTCAATTTGGTATTTATAACGTAACTTTGGAGCACAAAGCCATCTGAAAATTCCCCATTTTGGAGTTAGGAGGACATTATATGTTGCTATCTTCAACTGATCTTGATCCATTAGGTCCATGTACCTATAAATTTAATAAACTCCATTGATATTGCTTACCCTGATCCACTATCTTGTCTCTTGGCTAGCATCGGAGAATCCATTTTAATAATATTTCATCAAAGTGGGGTTTTGGGGTTTTGGGGTTTTGGGG